AGAATCTTCTCCCGCTCGTATTGGCTGAGCAATCGGTTCGTTAAATCACGTTTCGTTCGTTTTGCTTCCGCACCCGATCTGAGTAAAGTCGCTTGTGCTTTCTATTTCTTTTCTGAATCGAATAACCCGATTGGAAAGGTTACCTTTTACGTTAATCGATACTCCCGTAGAAGATCGGGGATCAACTGAGCAAATATTTTTCTGCTGACTAACGAGCCTACGCGCGGATCGAATGGTTATAAGTAAACTGGATGAATCCGCTTATATGTCACACAGAGCCATCGATATTGTATTTGTCGAATATCGAATATCACATTTATGTCACTTGATGAAATAAATCTGTTTAAATCTTTCATTTACAAATGTATATATATTGTTTTTTTTTTAATTTACTTATTAGATCTTTGGTGGATACATTTATTACATTCTGAAACATTGTTTCCTCAATTTCAAAATATTTCAAAATATTTCTATAATTATATTTATTTATAATAATAAGATACACATTTATTAATAGCCATTTGAAAAGATAATATGATTTCTTTACGAAATAAATGATATATTATTTTGCTATACAATTATTTTCTACACGTCGCGTATTTAAAAAATTTTGTTAATGATTGCTTCAAATATGTATTATTCAAAATTCATAACAAAATAAGGGAAGCAAAACAAATGCTTCAATTTATAAATAATAATTACAAGCGTAAATTATGTAAAATTATTTTATGCGAGCGCATTAACCTTCTCGAATAAAATCAAAATCGAGCAGTGAGTACTATTACTCTCTTTATTTTTGACTTAAATCTTTTTCTCACCGATCATCAGCTGCCAACGTCTGCATCGCAGCTGCGCTTACGTCTGCAATATCTCGCGCGATAAAGAAGCCATTAGGAGAAAATAAAAAAATTCCGTCTGCCTGCGTGGGAGAGTTCATCCGATCCAGACGTTCGGCAGTCTTCTTCCACAATCGCGAGGAGGAATTTGCATTCCTTCCTCTTTACCCTCCTCGCTGAACTTCTCTTCTGACTCATAGTTCGCTCCCCGTTGAATTTTACGTGCCCCGAATACGCGTATCCTTCGGGAAGACTGTCGCGCGGCAACGGTTTTCCTAGCTGCCTCGTTTTGTCACAAAGGGAGCAAAGCACCAATTGACGAGACTGAAAACGCCTACGTTCGATTTTGACGATCTTTTGACTATCTTTCAATATCTAATAAAGCAGCTCGAAATACACGTGTATTTTTTATAGGTCTAGCAGAGAGCAGATTTAGGAATGAAAATAGTTCGCTACCGGTTAGATAAATGTATTAATAAACGATCGCGCTGGTATATCAATCTATCTCTGTCAATGTATTTCTGTCGTATATATTAGTACGATATAAGTACGACATAAATACATTTTTCCAAAGCAGTGAGACCATGTTATTAGTAATCATTATATATTCATTAGTGCAGTAATAGGTCCTTCCTCCATTTATAGTGTTAAAAAAAAAAAAATGTTGGAAATATTCTACGTACGGCAGAGAAAAGATATTTTTGTAAAAGTAAATTTAATCTCCATGATTCTCTCGCACCATGTTCAATTTTCCGTCTGTCGCTCGTCGTCTATTTTTTGGCACGCATATATAGAGCTTTCGAAGGCAACTTTGTGGGAAGAATGTCTCCTTGCTTTTTTACCTTCTTGGATTTCGTCGTAAAAGAGGAAAACTTGAGGTACTTCCTTCGTGGGAAAGCCGGGAGTAAAGCTCGCGACGAAAGACGTGGTCCGGGAAACTCGATATCGAATTTTCGCGCTACATAACACATGCGAGATGAATTCACGGCGTCGTTTCGGTTGTATACGCGGACGTAATAAATATTTAATGCGCGCGTAACATATAGGGTGTGTCGATGTACCACGGCATTTATATTCCACCTTTAAGAGAAGTTCCTCTTAAATTGAAAAAAATGACACGCGGGATCGTTGTTTGTCGCGACATTTTCGTTATAATACACAAAATTGTGTTAAACAATATTCGAATAAAAAAATACTGATCAATACTTAAATAAAAAGATATTAAGAAATGAATAAAAAATCTTGCTGAGATTAATTGTTAGGATATCGTTTATGATGCGAAGAACTGACATCTCTCTCGAGATAGCTTTCCAGTGATCGATTTTTCTGGAGATTGCATTCATTTTTCATAATTTGTATTGCTCACGCAGAAAACACATCCAGCGATTCCGTGATCGACGATGTCGTTTTCCGCGCGAAAATAAAAGTACAATGAGTGTATCACGATAGCAAATTCACATTGCTTTAGAAAGGAGAACATATTCGCGTGTTATGTGGTGCATAATTTATTCTCATCTCATTTTGACCATTTAATTGAAAGCCTTATCTGTCTAATATACTTTTTTAAATAAGTTTTGAAAGATTTTTAACTTAGTTAAATATCGAGTTCGATGGAAAATTATTACACGAATGTAATGTAAACATCTATGTATAATAGTGATCTGTTTATTCGCTCGGAACAGATAAAGTTATCCTGTAACTCGCTTGGCAGCGATTTTCTTGGGGCGGAGCGAGCCGCGCTGTCTGATCGTGTTAATTTTTGACAGATTTGTGAAAAATGGGCGACTTTGCGAGGTTATTGGCCGGTTACGCGAGTACCTAGAAACCCCATATCAGACCCCGGCATCAATCACCTTGATTCACGCCTGATATGCCTGCCGTCTTTCGATTCGCCTTGGGGGATAATCCTGACGGATATCTTCTAAGAACGGAGTCCTTCGCCGCCGACTTGTAGGCGCGTCGCAGGATTATGCCAGCTTCTTAAAATATAAGAGCGATTTCACCGTCGAGTGAAAAGAGACATTCAGTCGGCTAGAATAATAATAGATATTAGATTTTTGACTTTATAAGAGAGAATCATCTGATTCTGCAATCTTGAGTGTGAACATGAAATCGCTATTAGTCTTCCACGACTTTTTACACACTAATTATAGAGAAGTCGATATTCTGAAGCTTCTTTTAATGATTTATGATGTGCTAAGTGGACTTATAAAGTATTATATAACACTCACGATCTTAATTTTTATAATAGTTTTTTTGTCAAGCTTGAAGATGATTTTTCTTTAACGAAAATATTGACTGTGAATTCGTCATTTACAATTTTCCATTGTATGTATTCTCCCTCCCTGGAGTAATTAAATCTCCAATTAAAATTGCTATAAAATCCGTTTGATTTTAAATAAAAAATGCCTGTTTTATTATCTACATGGCCTCTTTAAAGCGCGATCCTTTGCTTTTTGCTTTTAATGTAAAATCTATGCTATCAGAGTTTTGTTAAAATAGATTTTTCGATAGATATCAAAAATCCGTTAGATAATAAGCGAAATAAGAAACATTTTGTGCATTATTATTTATAATTATTTTACATGAAATTTTTTTACATTTATTCAATTGCCATGCTATTTTAATTAATCGTGTTATTGTTATACAAACTTCTTATCTTACTATATCACATATTATTGCAACCGCAGCTTTCTAACTGCAGAAATGACTTCTTACCTTTGTTCATGGTTAATGAAGTTTTCAATCAGCTGCGCTCGATCCCACAAAGTTCCACAAGTATCATATATCGTGCACAAAGCAAAAGTTCTACAAACTTCCTAGTAAAATTCGTACTTAGTTCGTAAGCCACTAAAACCATTAACTATGCAGAGGTGCGTTGTTGCTATGTATTATTGCTATTTTGCCTGTGTGTGTGTCTGTGTGAATACGTTACACCAAACAGGTACTGCCGTACGCCTAATTTTCCACACTGATTATAGTTTGCTCTTCGAATATTCATTACTGTGTACTTTGCGCAATTCTGATGACTCGCAAAATGTTTTCTCTACACGAAGATCAATGTTTTCACAATTTATTCATAATAACGTACTTCCGCAAATATCGCATGAACTCGTCGTAATATAGAGCTGACTAATTATAGTTTCCTCTTTGAATTGTGCCCACTAATTTATAATTTGACGCTTAATTTCATAAATTATGATACTATTGGCTGATATTTTCGCCTCTGAGTGTTCATATAATGTAACTTTGCAGGCAATTTCTGTTGCACGCAGCATAAAACGAGCTAATTATTTTGTATGCAGTTAATTACAGATTACAACGTCGTCGTTTATTTTGCGCGATTCTTGCATAATCTAAATTGAATTTTAATACTCTTAAATTCTGGCACAGAATTTTAAAGTCGCGTTTGGCGAGCATACAGTATGTACATATGTATGTACTAGGGCGAATGGCTGCATGTAAATTTGCTTGATTGCCGTCACGACACAAAATCTAGCGATACAGTGATATGGACAAAAACTCATACAATTCTGAACTTTCTCAGTTGTTGATTTTTGTTCGTTAGTATGTAGCCATATTTATCGTGCAATGAATATTTTTCCGCGAGCGGTCGATACTTTATCGCCGGCCCAGACTCGCAAACTATTTAACAAGCTTTACAAGATAGCAATATCTACAATGATCTGTTCGTTGATGTTGCAATTCAATTTCCTAAGTTAGGAAAACATGCTTTACTGACATATAAATATTTCATGACTTGTTCTTTTAGTCAATCGATTCTATTTTTGTTCAAAAATATTTATATCTATTGAAATATGTTGCAGTCTTTCTTTTAATGATGAAAAACATTTATTATTACATTCTGAATTTTTATTTATTCAATTTTATTATTTATATTCATTATTTCATTTTTTTTTAAATATATTGCTCCATTTTTCAAATGTATCGCTGTTCGATATTATCTGTTTTGACAAAATATTTTTTTAAACTAATTCTTTTAAAGTATTTAAATCTCTCTCAAACTCCGCTTGTTCGCTTAATTTTGTTAATTATATTTGTCAGATAATGATGAACAAAGTCGATATAACTGGAAAGTAATAAATAAAATTAAATAGTTTTGTTACCGTAATCATGACAAATAAACGCCTTCTTCCTTTTCAGACGGACTACAATCGGCATTTGGAGCAATTATTCGAGCGCATGGCGACTCTGCTTATCGACAGTTTGCAAATGAAGATAACTGTCGAGAAATTGGATCAAGTTGCCAAGCTTCATGAACATCTGGAACAAGTACGACACCTATTCGGTAAGTGAAATGAGGTCATTAGCGCGCAAAACGCTTTTTGGCAAGAAAGAGAAATTTGATCTTCTTTATTGGAAACAATGCAATCTTATCACTCACAGACGAAAACGTCGCCGGCAGAACAATGGCCGCGGAAACCAAGCTGTTCTTACATAAAATCGAGGAAATGTCGAAGTTAGTTTCGACGATGAAGCTCTGGATACCTTCTCACAAGTCGGAACTGCAAGATATCGAGTCGGGATTGCGGAATTTGTCGAGTTTCGTCAAGAAGGACGATTGCCTAAATGCAGGCGGAAAGTTCGAATGGGTGGACAGTGTATTAGTAAAGGTATTTCATAACGGCAAGTTTTTGTCGATTTTCTTGTCGCTGGAGAACTACGTCTCCATTACTAGCATTCGCAAATATTTTATGCGCACGTCGTCGAATATATAAGAGGATATTTTTGACAAAGGATTGCTCCAAAATATTCGTCGTACTTGAAGTGCTCGAGCTTGATTTAAGCAACTTTTATGCGGCAGTCTTTACGGCGCTTCTCATATTTTACATACCGCCGATGATAAAGTTGCACCACTTCGAACTTTAACTTCGCGCTGCCTTTCTCAATATTTTAGCCTTGACACACGATAATGTAGATGTTGCTAAAGTTTTAATAGAGTCAAAAATTGCGGCATACCGAACTCTTTTCTAACACATAAAGCTACTCCATTTATATATACGTTCTTGTTTTGTTGCAAAAACTTGATTTTTAGTAAAATGTTTGCATCTTTATAATTCTCCGTCTGCGTACAGTGCAAGCAAAAGAAATGAAAATTTAAACAAAACAGATTGAAAGAGTTTCCTAAGTTAACTTTATCTGTTATATGAAAAACTACACAATGATTTAAGATCTCATTTTTCGATTAGCAAAATATTTGCGTTATCTAGGACGGTGTAATAATGGAATCACTTTTTAGTGCTTGCAAGATGGTACTTGGCTGCTCATCGACCAGGTTAATCTATGCAGCCCCGCTGTATTAGACAGGCTTAATGGCCTGTTGGAGCCAAACGGTGTTCTTAGTATCGGCGAACGAGGTGTTGATAGCGAAGGCAATGTCGTTACTATTAAACCGCACGAAAACTTCCGTCTATTTCTAACCATGGATCCCCGATACGGTGACATTTCCAGGTAATTGCTTCCTTCATCCTAAAAAGGATCCTAAAATAATTCATCAGAAAAGTTGTAAAATTTACTTATTGCTATAAATTGAGTCTAGAAATCATATTAGTTTGCTAAATTTATGCGCATTTACTATGCACTTATTAATATTTAACAGAGATGAAATAATTGCCAGCAAGATAACTTTATCATAATATGACATTTGAAAAAGATCATAATTATATAAATTATATAAATTTAGAATCATTTTTAATTGTGCGAAATGAAGGATAATTGTAGCGATTTTATCGCGATAGCGTAATATTCTTTCCATTATCCATAACATAAGTCACGATTGGCGGTTTTAGGGCTATGCGTAACAGAGGCGTCGAGATTTACATGCTCGGTCCGAAGGAGAACATGGATTACAACGCGATCGATCTCAAATCTCTGCTGTTTAACGCCGGCATCGCAAGATCGGCATATCGCGATGTGTTACTTGAGATCCACAACATGATGTCGGAGGAAATCGTCGCTGCGGATCGGATCAGCACGATCGATCTGTTGCACGCCGCGTTCTTAGTGAAGCGGCGATTGCTGCGAGGATTCTCCGCGGAGCAATCGATCAGGAACGCGTGTATTGATGTCTACGTCAAAGCCAAATTGACGCGAGATCCGCGATTTAAGGAACAACTGATTTCTCTGATCGATGAAATCATCGAACGACACATCACGCACGACGAAGAAATTTCGGTGATCGATTTGGACGCCGCTACATGGAACGTGAAAAATCTGCAAGACAATTCGAAGCTCACTATAATCAGACAGCAAGGTTTATTGTTGAACGCGGCTGTGAAAATGCACGAATTGCGTCTAAAATCTAATTCGAATGATATTAGAAATACCATGACAACTAAGTTGTTAAATGATTTCTGCGGTTTTACAGAGAATTTTTACGACCATTTTGTGTTAAATATCGACGTAGCTGACGTATTGCCATATTTTCTGTTACATTTTTACGAACAATCTTCGCTAGATGATGCGTCACTGAGAAGCGCGTGGCTTTCAAAGATGCTACGAGAAAATGCAATATTTAACGTATTTGAAAAACACAGTTCGTTAATGATGAACTTAATCGTGCTATTTCGCTTCCGATCTGCAAATGTGGAAAGTTCGCTGCCCTGGGATTTGCAGCAACTCGTTGGGAACACGATATATGATGAGAACGAGACTGCTTACAGCGACGCGAATAAATTGGCACTATTGCTGTACACATACAGTATGATATTTGAAAATAATAGGGTGCTAATGAAAGCGTCGGAAATATTGGAGAACGAAAATTTGATATCTGTCAGAAAATACTGCAGCACTGTAGATGAAGGTATAAATTATTTATTTAATTATATAAAATATAAAAAATTAATTTTTTTCTTATTTGATTTTTTGGATAATAAAACTATAAATTAATTTATAAAAACACAGCTACTTCAACATGTGATTTCTATGATGTAGCATGTAATTTGTTTGTCAAAATAGTTTGATATTATAAATAGCAATTTATAATGTTCCCATTTTTAAGAAGGCGATTTATTATTTCTAATGATCTATTGTTATCACTTTTTATATAAAAACATTATTACTGGGCAAACTCTTTGATTTACAGGTACATTGCTTTGGCAATTAGGCGACAAGCCGCTTATAAGGAAATTCACACAATTGCTTGTGTACGTGAATTCCTGCATCGAGACGATTCTACGAGACGACAGTGTAAGCATAAATGTCGAAGAGTACGTCGAGCTGAGGAAAGAATTGAAGTGGCTTGCGAGATTTGAAAGGCTGGGTGAAATGACGCTCGTAGACAAGTCAAATAAATCCAAGGGCGTGTTCACGAACCTCGAGCAGATCTCTTCGCTGTTGTTAGTGCACTACAAGTGGCTGTTGAAATTCCTACGCAAACTGTTCGCAAGAAAGAGGTCTTCGAGCGAGAAGATAACTTGCGAGATCGAGCTGTTGTCGGAAGTTTTGAACAATCTAAACAACCAATTGATAACGATTCACGATCCTATGAAAAAGATAGCGAAGAGGATTAAGAAACACCTGAGACTCCCGCCGCCCCATTCTACAGAGCTCTGCATGCAGGTGCACTCAAGACTGAGAAAATTAACAAAAGATTTCAGTGTGAAGGACGAAGGTGTGAGTGTCCTGAAGCGAGAGCTCAAGCTCGTGTCCGTGCAGCTGAAGGATGCGCCGGCGATGCGATATCAAATGATCTCTCTGTGGAGCGACGTTTACTCCGAGGAAATAATCGGCGACGAGACCGCGGAAGCAGCTCTGCAGACTATTCTCGAGGTGGAGCGATTCTGCGACGACAGCCACATTCGTCTGCGAGTGCCTGCGGAAATCGAGAGCGTTCTGAGCAGAGTACGCTCACTTCCGGCAAAGGAAATGACGCAGCTGAACGTAAGGATACAGCTGTGGCCGATCTACGAGTACGTGTTTCTGTCGCTCGCCGGCGTTCTTCAGTGTGAGATATATGAGGATGCGGAAACGACTTCCGCTGTCACGGTGGCGGGATGCCTCGCGAGGTTCGCGGATGTGCCCGGTATACCGAGCGATCTGATGGGTCTGTTGAGCGCGATGACTCGAGTGGATGTCACGCTAGAAGAAAAGTACTTGCTGCTGCCGGAATTGTTCTACCGGCTTGCGCAATTCGTCCAGCAGTCTTACGCCATCAAGGATACGAGTTGTCTTTTGCACTGGAGCGGTGTGACGGAGGATGCGGAGGAATCGGTAACTTCTTACGTTCAACCCAAGGTTCGTGTTTATTTTTATTTTAATACAACTTTGCTGAACGCTTATTTCTTGCCAGAAATAATATGAGGAATTTTTCAAGATTTATTTGGCACTAATATTTTTATTCATACAATTGCAGTGTACAATTGAACTTTCTAAATCAAAAATTAACAATTCTAAGTAAATTAGTAATTCTAAATAATAATTAATAATTTTTAATTAGCCATAAGTGTAATTGTTTCATCGAATTTTTTTTCCAAATTTTTTACTATTTATCAATTTATTCACTTATATAATATATTTGTAGATGGAATGTTACTTCGATGGACCCATCCTCTTGAATCTAATACTGCAGTTAATGTTGCGCAAAACAAATCGAGAGAAGGAGAAGAATGCTCTCTCCACGGTCGCGCTCGGAACATACGCGGCGCAAACGGATCAACTGCAGTTACTGAGCGAGATCTTATGGCGCAACAGTGTTTCGTTAACAAGCAAACGATACGATTTGGCCAGCAACGATGTAGCAACGTTGACGTTTTATTTAGACTTGTACTTGTCTGCGATCGACAGAGTGAACGACAGGCATGACATTCGCAATCTGATTACGATTATACAGAGACAAGGCAATAACGCGACAACAATAGAACAGAAGTTGCAACTCGATTATTTGCAACCGGTGGAGGAACTGCGTGAAGCATACGAAGAAATAAATACCATTGACGAGAAGAATGTCGGCGAAGAGGAACGTGTTCTTCGGCGAGGGAAAGCGTGGATGTTGCTCGGTTATATTCAGTCGTCGGTTTTTGGAAATTTAGATCTGATCGATCCCGTACACAAAGTGCAGCTGAAGCTTGAATACCTCGAAGAGGACATTGCCGATTACAAAAAAGCAATATACGTCGCAATGTTGCAGAGTCGCGTTCTAGGAATATCAGCCGATGACCAACACCTTCATCCGAGAATCGCCGCCATGCAAAATTACGCGAAGCGCTTGCATCAGTCGCGTTGCGTCAAACAATTGAGATATTCGGGGGCGTTCAGATCACCGCTCGTCGACTTCGCCTCGCTTAGAACGGACAGTGTCAATTTCAGGAACAATGTGGGTTCTTACAAAGTCATGAAGAAACAAATGAACAACTTGTGCACGATCGCGTACGAAATCCATTCAGGACGTTACACAACAGACGTTCAGACGAATTTGCAAGAAGCGGAAATCTGGAGCTTGTCGATTCAGCGATTCGCCGAGCAGATCGAGACGAAGTATCTGTCGGGTTTCCCGGACTTGGTTCTTCCGCTGCTGACGGCTCTGGCTCAACTGAATCACGGCGTTCGCATTCTGATTAACGAAATCCGGCGACTGACGTCACTACAAAATCTCCGTAGAAGCGGAGTGACCGATCTCGATTCTTTGATTTACAATCTAATTCGTTTCCCGACAATCGGCCGACAGCAGGAGAATCTTTTGAGCCTAAGCAGTTTGTGCGTTTCGGAAAACACGAGGAGTCTAATTAGCAAAAGCTTTTGTCAGACGGACGCGTTTGTCAGAATGCAGGAACAGTTCCGGATATTCAAGTCGGGTCTGTACGAGCTGCACAATCACGTGATTCTCAACAAAAATCTAACCAAATCACTATGGCGGAACGTGAACGAGCTGCTGCAGCAGATGGTTCTCATCTGGAAACAACAGCAACAGGAAGAGGAAAAGCGTGTCGCGGAAAGAGACAGTCTGTACAAGAACAAGACTGAAAGTTGCGGCGACACGCTGACGGAAGAAGAGGAGCTCGCTCTGGAAGTCCGCAAGTTGTTCCCCACGCATCGTGAAAAGGACTTTCACGATGTCGAAGACAGTTCGAAGGCTTCCCTCGGCCGGAAGAACGCGTCGCCGGAGTCGTGCGAGGCGAATTTCAGCTTCAGCGGTCTCATCACCAAGGACGACATCGCGGAAATCCAGCAGATCCACTCGAACATCGTCACGTCCTTCATCGCGTCCAAGTGGATGTGCAACAGTCCCGCCTCGACGACCTCGACAAACTACGTCGGACCTCTGATTCAAAGGTACAACACGGTGCACGCGATGCTCGACGATGTACTGCCGAGTCTAAGCGGCAAAGTCGCGATCAAATTGTACAACAGCCTGAGCCTGCTGGTCGCCTTGGGACTGCAAACAAATCGGGAAACGAGCACGGGTCGCGTCTCGTGGGAAAATTGCGGCGGGCGCGCAAAAGCGTACAATTTTTACAAGGATTGCGACGCGGAGGAAGTGAAGCAGTGCCTGCCACTGTGCGAGAACATCCTGAATCGCACCGATCAGCTGCTGGAGGAGTGGCCGGACCATCCGACGCTGCGATCAATACGGTGTATAATAGATAGACTCTACACGTTCCCGATCACCTCGCCCGTCTCCAGATTTCTCACCGGTCTGGAGTTGCTGCACGCCAAGGTGCACGAGTGGGAACAGAACGCACACAGAGGCGTCAGTATGATGGATCACGTATCGGCGTTGACGCAACAGATAATATCGTGGAGGAAGCTGGAGCTGTCATCCTGGAAGGGCTGCCTGGACGCGACGTACGAAGATCTCAGATCGGACACGTCCAAGTGGTGGTTCTTCTTGTACGCGCTGGTCGAGAGTTACATCACGAGGTCCACGAAGGACGACGCCGAGCTCTTCACTAGACAGAAGCTGATCGAATCGCTGGAGCGTTTCATGAACGAGTCGTCTCTCGTCGAGTTCGAGTCACGGTTGAATCTCTTATTGACCTTCCACTGTCACGTGTATTACTTCGAGGACAGTGACGACAGGAACGAGCTCTCGGCTATATTATGGAACATGTACAATTATTACAAACAGTTCGTGGACGACGTAAACGCGCGGATCGCCGCTTTGAAGGCGCCCATCGAGAGGAAGCTGAAGGACTTTGTCAAGATTGCGCGATGGAATGACTTCAACTACTGGGCGGTGAAAGAAGCGGTCGAGAAGACGCACCGCAGCCTGCACAAGTTTGTAAAGGAATTCCAAGACGTGCTCAAGCAAAATGTGTCTTCTTGCTTGATCGTAAAATCAGGCTCTTACGTCGCGGAGATTAGCAAGGACGATCAGAATCACCGAAAATACGCGATAAGCCCTGAAGACTTTACTGTAACGAAACTTTCACAATTTACGGACGTGAAAACGCTGTTCACAAGCGGACTCGTCGTCAAAGCGGAAGCGCTGTTGACGAAAGCCAAGCAGTTGTGCAAGAAGATAATCCTAATAAGTTCTTATCCGTACATTCGCTCAGAGCTCGAGCACTTCG